TTGTAAAATGGTGTGAGTGAACAGCTTCTAAGCACACTGCGTCACTTTTTCAATTCTTCTTAATTTTATCAAGCTTTTTTGGCTAGTTTCGCATTTTTCGGCTTTACACTTTTATCACGTAACAATATTGAATCCCCTTTAGCATACGTCTACATATAAAAGTGATGCATAATACGATGTGTGTACAATATTTTTATGTTATATGTATAAGATAAAAATCTTACGTGTTTATACTCAGCGCGCCAGAAATCGCGTCGCGCAAAAACGCCGCGGTACGCAATGGGTTAAAGACAGTGCGCGCAAGCGGTCTGCGAAATTTCTCCGTGCAGTAGGCATAGTTGTCTGCATTCGCAGAGAATATACGCTTCCGTCTCGAAACAGCGAGCTAAAGAAGCTGAGGTTTGCTACCAGGGCACACCATTAATCGGAAATTTTGGTTGAGTACGTACAATCATCCTTTTTTCAGGTTTGGTACGACCCTCCGCCCCCCCCCCCCTTGGTTCCCTCCTCATCGAGCTGTCGAAGGTGGGGGAGGAGAAGGTGGAACGGAAAAACCACGATTACTTTCACTCTCCAGGCTTACAAGCGGAGTTGCGTGTGTACATAGCGTTGCCTAGAGCATCGTAGGGTGATTTCCTGTGCTCTTGCCGGGGAGTGGTTGCTTGTCGGATTGGGCTTGGCGACGTTCGACAAACTCATCCAAGTTGCCAGCCCCATTGCTAGGGGGTCTCCGTTCAGGGTGTTCCCCAGATTATTTTCGTTTCTTTCTTTACTGAGGGGGGGGAGGTACTTACGAGTTACTGGTTCATGATTGAGCACCTAGTACCCATAAAATTTGATCGCGGGGATTGTCTTTAACCAGTTACACTGGTCGTTCACGTTGCTCACAAGACACTAGTTCACAGAAGGGGTTGATGGGCACAGTTTGTTTTGTGGGCTTAGTTCGGCGTGATGGGGCTCTTTGCGGTTTCCAGTCGATCGGTGCCGATGCGACCTATGGAGACCTGTGAAGTCCTGTAAAAGCGGGATGAACCTGACAAAATTCAATAGGAACTAGCGAAGATGTGAACTGCCTCCCCCTCTCCCCTTGAGCCGGACAGCGCCGATTTCAACAACGTTAATCAGAAGATGCTCAATCGCTCTGTAGTTTTCTGGCAATAACAGCTTAGTTGTTTTGTCACCGTCTAGAGAAAGGTCAAAGCTTTGTACTGCAATATTCGTCGAATAGGGTTGTAAATCCCTTTATTGTTCTGAAACGTATGGCTCATTCCAGAGGAGTAGATCATGCCATCATGAAAATTATGAGCTCAGTTTTGTTTATGTCCTACTATGGAATGTGATAGACTCTAAAATTTATTTCAATATCTAACATTAACTATGATAAATACACCAAATGATGCAGAGGCAGCGATCCATTCACCTCGCGGTTTCTCCGTGCAGGTTCTTACGCGGCTGTTGACGAGTGGGTTGCTTTTCTGACAACTCGTAAGGTTTTTGCGTCGAAAGCGCGCTGTCTGTGTACTTCCACCAGTTCATCTGCATAGTCGACTTGTAGAGGTAGTTCAGGTAGTTCTAGATCACCGTAGTTCTTCAAAGAACTAGGTGGACATTTGCAATAGTCCGCATCAGTTCCTGGTAGACCCTGTGGTCCGTCTGGTCCGGGTAGACCATCTTCTCCAGGTCCTCCAGGATTGCCAGGCGGCCCCGGTGGTCCTGGCGGCCCGATTTCTCCAGCAGCTGCTTCACTTCCATTGGGCCCATCGGCTCCAGGTACACCAGGTCTACCCATCGGTCCCATTGGCCCCGGTCCACAAAGAGCGTGCTGTACAGACCTTCCAGCAGTGCCAGGAGTTCCAGGACTTCCTGGTATACCTGGAGGTCCCTGATCACCAACTGGTCCTGGTGGTCCTGGCGTGCCAACGTCACCGTCTAGACCACGCAGTCCCGGTAAACCGTCATATCCTTGCAAGCCGGCAGGTCCCGTTGGACCACGTCGTCCAGGTGGACCAGCAGGGCATTTGATGCACCCAGGTGGCTCTTCAAATCCGTAATGTGGTGGTCCGTCAACACCAGGCAGACCCGGCTTGCCAGGTTTCCCATCGTATCCAGGTTGACCCGAGCGTCCCGGAGGACCAGGCGGTCCGGGTGGGCAGTTAATCGGTTGTGGAGCGCAATTGCACATACTCTGATATCCATCTCTCTCGACGACTGTTCTCCTGTACCTGAAAGCGTCCTTTGGACTGGGCTTCATCCTATTCCACGCCGTATTCACCAGTTCCTGTAAACATACAGCTAAATTTGTTCTCGGCAAAACTTAAAAATAGGATTGATTGAATGAACCTGGAATAGAACTAATTCTCCGATCGTATCTTCGTAGAAATCGTTAATGTCGTTGAAGAGGTAGCCAACAAAGAGCAGGCAGACGGTAATTCCTACGGCAACGAAAATTGCGACGCAACCCACGGTCGTGGTGGCCGCACTCATTTCCTGCACTGAAATTTTAGTGTTTTCAGTCAAACCTTCTCCAAAATTCACTGTGAACTTAGTCTGCTATTAATGGTCACTTCCTTTCATTGGGGGCGGAGTTATCGTAGAGAGGTGTTGACTTTGCTGCTCTATTACACGCTTTATAGTGCGTTGTAAAGTTGTGAAAATGTTACGGAACGAACTGGATCTGATCTACTTCAAATGAAACATTAGGTAAAGACGGATAATCTCTAGTTCTCGCGCAGTGCCTGATACCTCCTATAGGAAAACAAAGTGGAGATCTCACGAGACCCTGTACAGTGGTGGTCCAAACGACTGGGCGTTTGACGAGGCGCCCTTGGGAGGTTAGCCGGTGCGGCCTTGTTCTGACGAGATGTCATCCACTACAGTTGTTGGAAAATCCTGCCTGCGCTCCAAGCTACGCCGCCGTCCTGCGCAATATCGTTTCCGGGGACCATGAATGTAAGTCATATCAAGGGAAAGCTGGTATAATCACTGTTAGCCGTCTCTCATCTTTTCGCCACTTTATGGTTAGTCACTTTGTGAAAGGTCCCCCATTCGACAATTCCTAAAATAAGGCCCAGTGTAACATTCCCAGATCTCTGGAAGGAAAAAGGACAGCGATAGTACAGGTTTAGTTAGTGAAAGAGCGGATGCGGAGGCGCCAGGAAGGGCGGTTTTTGGTGTTGCGGGCAGGAGATTGTGCGCGACACGAACTATGTCGCAGCGTAATTTGCAGTGCCGGTGGCGATTCATTGAGACTGCCTGTGCCAGCCGGTTACCTGACATCTTGAACTTTGTGTTGCTTGGTTCTGTATGCCGATACAGGAACGCAGACAGATTCAGGGATAGCGGCTGCCAAAGCATCGAAATGTTGGCAAGACACTTGTAGCGGGCCTGGGAAACACGCTTTTTCAGGGCGGAGGGGACTCCGGATGGGTGTAAGCACCTGCTAATTACGCTTGAAAGTCTGGAATGTGCGAAGCTCACAGAACACAGGGTGCCATAGAGGATGAGAGAGTGCAGAGAAAACGAGATCGACGCCGTTTTTCAAGGGATTGACTTCAAGTTGTCTGGTAGACCGCGGCCGGTTCGACGAAACACCACTGCACACAACTAGGCTACACGGACCTCCTGGCGTATCACATCGCATATTGTAACATTTTTGCAAGGAACTATTGCTTGTGAATGTCACGCAAATTTGTTGAAGGGAGGTCTCCAAGTAGGTTCATCCATTCCTGATGAAGCCTTTTGCAATGAAGGTTTCTTACATTGAGCTACTACTGAATACAGCGTGATGAACTGTTCCAGTTATGTTAGGTCCTCTACAGAGAAACTCAGCAGAAAAAATCGCCGCTGCAACGAAAAAAAAGAAGTAGCGACAGTCGCGTCTTCCTCGTTATTATTCGGACAATTTAGGCGAGTACTGTACCTCTTGGGTTCACAGGAATACAATTCAAGCCGTACGACTTGGGGTACGTCATCACATTGTTTAAAAAATTTACAAACAGGACTCATTTTGAACAAGTAACTGCTTCTCCTCTTTGCTTCACTTCTTGTTCGACTATCATTTCTCATTTCACTTGTTTCGCCAAAATTCTCCAAATTTCTCCTGCTAGGGACGTGGGTAAACACCTCCGATCCGACTATTAGGTTGGCCCATAAGTAATGGTGTTTACTGTTTGATAAACAATTTTCCGCACTATAAGATAGTACAGTTGCCTTCTTCCTATTTCTCGATTTGTGTCGATTTTTATTTCATTGAAAGGGAAATTCGGGTCGACCCAAAAGTGAGTTTTCGACAACTACTTTTTGAATTTTATCTCGGCTCTCAATCTACAGAAGAAGCTCAAACCTTGTGGTATATATGACCAAAGAAAGATGCGTCTTATGACAGCTTGAAGTTGGTTCAAGCGATCAAGAGGTGGGAATTCGGACCTTGTAAAAGAGCATCGCGTGGGGGCCCTCTTGGGAAGGGACTGCCTGCAGAGCCTACCCACTTATTTTCGAACGTCTAACATCAACTGAGGATATAAGCATTCCATGACCTCGCACGGCTCCTCAATTTTGCATGAATCTTCGTGAATAAGGTAATTCCGTAAGCTCTCAGTTGGACAGAATAGGGCATTAGGTTCGATGCTTGTCTGTGAGGTCGAAACTGAAATCTTCGAATCACTTGAAAGTATTATTGGCATTCTAAGAGACAGAGCCTTTAGCCATATACTTAGCAGCTGGGCCATGCGGTTTTAGCTTTTTAATTAGAGGTATAAAAGAGAGGCTGTCGAAAATGCTCAATTTCGTCGACCTGACACTCCAGTTTGAGCACTTAAATATTAGTGGAAAGAGAAACTTGAAGAAAACTAAGAAGACTATCGTGTAGGGCAAGGAATTCTCTGCAAAACGGTAAAACTCAATGGCAAAACTTTTCTTCTTCAGCGCGATATTTCGAGTGGAAAAAACGCCATTACTTATGGGCCGACCCAATATTAGAAATATTTTTGCGGTGCCGTTAAACCAGTTGAGGGGCATCGTGGCGCAAAACAGACAGAACGTCAAGAAGAAGAGTGAAACAGAACAACGAAGGGAGAGCAAGAGGAAAGCAGAAGAATCTCTTTTAGCGAATATATAACCCCTTCTTTCCCAAGCGACCGAGACCAGCATGAATATATGTACTTTATAATTGGTATGTCAGGTAACGAATTGGTCCCACCTATGTGGCAGCAGCGCAGCAGCAGTTCTTTACAGAGAAAGATATAATCTAACAGCATACTATGTTGAGTGAGCAAGTCCACCAGTCCGTGAGTTCCATAATGGGTAACCCTAGCCCTAGCCCATTATTTTCAGGAAACGAAATTTCATGCGAATTCCAAATGGAAATCGAATTCTCGGATTGTCAAATATACTCACCCCGTGAACAATTAATCACAATAAAGTCGTCAGCAGGGGAATAGTTCCAGACATTTCTTGCCGGCCGCCTAGGAGTGCAGATCCATTCGTTTCAACCTTTGAAACTAATCAGGACCAGTTGGCGAGCGAAGGAATGGATAGAAGGCGCTGGAGAAGAATACCACTTATGGGGTAACAAGCTCGAGTTCGTGACGTGACCATACATCTTCCCAAGACTTTTATATGTGTCATACTGCGCCAAACTTACAACATATGTTCAGATTCGGTCGACGTTTTTGATGTCGCGTTTACGGATGATGTTTTCCCCCTTTCCCGCCCAGTTTTCCTTTAAAGTGGCTCGCATTGATGGGTCTTCGCATTAAACCGGCTCGGCTTTTCTTGAAGTACTCGAACCAGTCGAGTAGCTTTTGATCGGAGTACCAGATTACCCTACGTGCAGAAGCCCTCCTGGCAGGAGGCGACGCGGTATGCCATGTAGGAGATGTGCCCCTTGCTAACTGGAATTATTTTATTTTATTAAGTACACAGTGGCCCAAGAAGACTGGTTGTCGTGCGTTGTTTACAGTAATCCTGATTTCGACGCAGGGGGTTTTCGCCAGCTACCTGTTACAAGTTCCGCCCCAGAAATTTTTCTGGTCTTTTTACCAATGGATACGATCTGGTGCTGGATGATACGAAGAAGCGAGTCGTGAGCCAGGGGTAAGGCAGGGGCCTCGGAGTGTCGATTTGATGCAATCCCGGAGACCTCGTTCAATGAGATTGCGTGACTGTTAGGGAAAGAATTTGTTCTCGAAGTTTCGTTTTGCTTTCCCCTCCACTGGGGAGTCTTTTCTCGGGCTGGTTCACAAATGAATACCGACTGTCTACAATACCGATTCCTACTATAAGAAGCAGAAATGTGTTCGAGTGATTCGATCATAGGTTTGAACACTCTCCAGCTTCCCTTTTCATGCGGAATCGGCGTATCAGTTTTGACTGCTTCACTTCCAGTAGCTTAGGGTGCGTTTAT